TAAATTTTAATCATTAGTAGCAACTTTAAAAAATCAGCTAAAATTTGTGATATTTTTAATATACGCACACAAAAATTTTGAAATTTAAATGCTTTTCTCATCCACACAAAGGAACTAATAAAAAGCATTTCTAAGTAAGCCACTTTTGCACTTTGCAGAAGAATTTAATTAAAATATTCGCGAAGCAAATATAAATAAATTTCCCTCCGCTTGCTGTTGAACAAGCTGCCGCTTAAGAGTAGCTACAATTTCTCTTACAGCAGCATCAAGGACCAGAGAGCGAAAATCCAAATTAAGTATCAGTTTCTCGGAAGCAGAAAAGCAACAGCCAAACGAGCGCCGGCCCTAAATTATCCTAACGGGCAAAATAAAGAGCCTAAAACCTATCCTGCGCCGCCGCTCTTCGCGAACATATAAATTCACTGCAGGGTGGCTAAAAATTTATTCGACTGTGCGCATTCGAATGAATAAATCAAACTGTCACGGGTGCCTAATTTTATGGGCCGGCTGTTTCTCGCTCTCTCTCTGTCTCGAAAAAGGTGCTGTGCGTCCTATATTAGAAAATTATAAACCTTACACTTAATTTCGATGCTCCTCCGCATAGCACACCGCACGCGGTGGCTTAAACGACGTGCCCTCTGCTCGGAAAGAAAATTAGTGTATATTTCTGCCCCGACGGCCTCTTGTTTTATTGGACCAGATATTGTGTTCTAACGCGTGCGAGATTTATTTGTTGCTCGGTCCCGCCACCTCCTCAAGGAATAGTGGCTGCGCTAACAATGAGCAGTAAAAAAATATTCTCACTTTAGCCGCGGGTCGTTTTTGCAGCTTGCGTATTTTAGAGTTATTTTATTGGTTGAGAATAATCCTAAATATGTCCGCCCAAAATGAAATATACATTGAAGCCAGCAGGTATACTGCGAATGAAAAGCTTTTCAAATTAAAAATTTAAATTGCATTAAATGCATTACCGTCAAATGAAAATTGAAATACTTTCAAATCAATGCTGAAAAAGGAAATAATCAATCAATTTTAAGTTCTTTTCTCTCTTCTTTTAAATTTTTTTCTTTGAATTGAATTAAATTCAAATGAGTTTGCACGCGGGGCAGCTTTGCCCTAGTTCATGAACCCAATAAATTCCCTTTTCAACTAAATGATTCCAATTCTTTATTTTTAAATTTTTTAATATTCAATTGATTTGATTTGTGAAGAATAAAAAATAATAATTCAGAAACGGTCGTTAAAGTGAAAGTTTACTTATGTGACAAATCAACTAATAATAGCGTGGTAATTATAATTTAAGTTCTGCAACCCACTGCAACACCCTTGAAAAGAATTACATGTATTTGGAATACAATACAGCCTTTTCTGGCTCTTCATCACTGGACCAATTGAATAAAAAAATTCTTCTGCATCCTGGATTTTTTTAAATGATTTTGGGAATTATTTCATTTAAATACAAAAGGCATATATATTACATAAAGCCAATGAATTTAAATATTTGAATAAATTATTTTCATTCGATGAATTGAATAAAATAATAATAAGAATTGCTGCAAAAAATTGGAGCTTCACATATATTTTGCGATAAAAGTCAAAAAGTCAACTTAAAAATAAATACTGATTGTTGTAAATTTTCTACACAAGCAAGCAAACCCTTTTAGAGCCCATATCTTATTCAAGCAAGAGCAAAACACAGCCCAAGGCACGAGAAAATCTGCGAAGGAGCAGCTTACCGTATTTTGCGAAATGCAACTTTTCAACTCACAATCAAGCTTTTCCGCGAAAGACAAGCTCTTGTGTTCATAAAATACGATCCGAACACAGCGTTCATGTGAGAGGAGATATATATTGCATCATTTTATTCACCAAGAGTGGTATCCTCTTACTTTGAATACAATACTTCGACCCATACGCATATTATTTCTCGTCGGCGTGTAAATAAATACATGCATTGCGGAGCGGCTTTAAGCATTATTATTATTATTACAACATGCCCAGAGCATTTGGACCCAGCGTCGCATTAGCATACATAAATGGCGAATGAGCTGTCATAATGTGAGGCGCGTCCCTCGAGAGGTGCTTTTGCTTGACGGCAGCGCGCAGACAAAAGCGGGCCACGTAAGTCTCAATCATCGCCAGCTGTATACGTTTGGAGTTTCCGAACAGTTCGGCGACGCCACAGTATTTTGTTACTTTCACGGGTCGACTACTTGAGTTAAAAAAACTCAAACAAGGGCACCAACATTTTAAATCCAAACCGCAATTTCTTTGAATTACAACACCATAAAAAATTAAAATTGAATATTAAATATGCTAAAATTTTAAATTAGGAATAAATTTGTATATTTCACGTTGATTATTTGAAGCCCTTACATAAAATATCACAAACTCTCTTAATTTTTTTAATTTATACAATTACTTGTAGTCTTTTTATAGATTATTATTAAATGCCACATGCATGAATCTTTATAAAATAAACTTTAAAGAAGGTATTTAATTATATTTTTTGAAATTACAGCCAAGTGTATGTAATGATTCAAGAGATGTTGTTTTTCTAGAAAAGGTTTTCAATAATATAGAATTAAAAATAGAATTAGAATTGGCTCCTTGCAAATTTCTTTTTCCCTTGTGAAAATTACTTTGGCACTGCTTTCCTCACATTTTATTTACTCTAGACTTTAATAAATTGAAACATTATGCAGATCAAAAATTGATAAGTCGCCTGAATCGCGAGTGTCGACGGCATCGTGCTGAATAATTCAACGGCGGCGAAATTGCATTCTGAAAGTAGTCCATTGTCAGCCTGCCGGGATTTATATTCCACCAGCCTGGCTATTATTCATGCACGCGCTATTCTCCCCTTGGCCGGCGTTCTCCGGGGACATTGTGTACTCAGTACGAAGGGAGATGTAATAATTAAACCGGCGAATATGATTACAAGCTGAGGGTTGAAACCCTTAATCATATCCGTGGCTCTTTGCAATTAGCTCTATGATCACAATGCCTGAGGCGAAATTTCGGAGCCAATACACACCCCTTTCAACCCCTCGTCTCATTATCGACTTTGCTAAGTAAGTCGCACACACAAACTCGCAAAGCTCGGCGCCAAATTGACCGGCGAAAACAGCCACCGGCTGCTTCTTTGCAATTAAAGATTTTTCTTCTCTGAACTATGTTGTTGTATGCCTAATTGTAAAAAAATAGTGTCTCACATAAAATTTGCCTTTTTCATTTCATGTGTGGTGATTATATGGGTATTAATCTGTTGAAAGTAACATTTTTTTATGACTAGTTAATTATAGAAATTCCAAACCTTCTCTTCTCCTTCATTTGTTGCAATATTTGATAGGGATTTTTAATGATTTTATATTTTAATCTCTTTCCGATTGAAAATTCTTAGTGAAAGTACTTTTCGAAACCCTTGTTTCCATTTGCAGTTTTCTGATAAATTAACTCTAAAAATTTAAGCACCCTTGCATATTTATATAATAGATAAATAATAAATAATTATGAAAAAAATTTGAATGCTAATACTTGAGATGGATTTAAATAATAATAATATTACAAATAACAATAATATTTGAAATACAAAACTGCAATTATATTTAGAATGAGTAAAAAATATTTTATTTTTTTACATTTATAAAATAATAAAAAGCAACTGTAATATTAATTAATAGCGATTAATAGTATAACATAATCCTCTTATTACTATGTGGACTAAAAGTAACACTACATATACTGATATTAGCAAATTAAATTAATGGTGCTGATTTTAATCGAAATAAATCTGATGATCTTAGAATGTTTTGCAAATGCGCGGGGCTACGAGGTTGATGTGGAGTCTCTCTATGGTCTATGTTGCATAAAAAAACAAATGGATCTCTGCTTGGCTGGCTCATAACAAGGTCTTCTCGTAGTGTGAGTGAGTTATTCAGGAAAAAAGCAAGCAACGTTTTTGGTGGACTCGCCCAAAATATGACGGTTCGGCTGTCAGATCTGCGCGGATCATGGGAGTGTAATTTTCCCCCAAGTGCCGTGGCTAACAAGACCCTATCCTCTATATTTGATATTTCTCACGAGTCTGACAGCATCAGATAGGCCTGGCGTATCATCTCTCTGGCCATGTGTGATGGGATAACCATGATTGCTCCGCGTGCGCTCGGCACCCAAATTACTACGTGTGAAAAATGAGCGCCTCCGCCGAACCGGACACTCTTGCGCTCTCTGCAGCCCAGAGAAACAATGGAAAATTGAGCAATTTTGTGGGTGAGCTCGAGGCGGATAATGAGGCACCTCATTACCTCGAAAGATGCGGCGATGACGCGGCGACGCTCAGCAATCACCAAAAATGCCTCTTTCCGCCCATTTTCAACACAAAACATGAAACATTTACGTTTTGGGTTCCCATTAAAATAATTCTCTTGGAAATAATAATTCATCTTATGGAAAAAAATTCAAAATGCAATAAAAAGTTAATTTGATTGAAGGAATTTGCACTTGAGGAGAGATCATGGAAGTGAAGAAAAACTTGCAATTTTATTTATATATTTAAAAAAATTTCTATCAACGAGGACAAGCCCATTTTACTTCATTTCTAAATAGAAAAAAAATATACGGTATGAAAATATTTATTAAAAATATATTGTTTTCTCAAAATGTGCGAGAGAAATTCACTTTCTCAAGAGTAAAGAATTTTCAAAATATTTATTTAAATGGGGCAAATTATCAGACACACACAAAGCTGGTGCAGATATTAATAATCTCTTGAGCAGGTATGCGTGCGAGCAAAATAATTAACTCGCGGATAAACATAATCCGCGGCGGTGGGCGCGCGAGACTCATAATTTGAATCCGGCGTCGAAGCTTAATTATTAGCGGGAGCACGGCGGCGGTAGGCGGCGCTGCGGTTTCCCCTCCGTCCGTGGAGCGAGGAAGGGCGAAGGACCGGCGTCGGAGGGGGTCGGGGCCGCCAGCACGCGCTGCCGATCAGTGCAGCTCCACCGGAGGTGGGCTTCGTGTGTCTCTCGAAATTGTTTCCCAGCCTACAATAGATAGACCCAGTGAGCATTGTCAGTGAACGAAAACAATCTTTCGCCTCCGAGAAGTCCGAGAGATCCGGATTATCGCTGCAGACTTCGGTGACGCTGCGACCCGCGGAGGACGTTTCGCGCCGCCCTTCGTCCGATCGTCTCTTCGGCCCAGGTGATTCACGAACCCAACGGAAGATCGCGCACCTGTGACTCAGGGTAAGTAAAAAAAAAAAACATCCCTATCCTATTTCATTTTTAAACGAGTGGCAAAAAATAAAATCATAATAATGTAATTAATTTTATATGTAAATGAATATTTATGTTATTAAAATGCAACTTTTTTTTTAATTTTCAAGAAATTTTATAAATTCAATTCTTTTCCTTATGTCAAGAAAACAAATAAATCCATGTATGTATTTCGTAAAAATTTTAACTAGCATAATTTCAAGGATTTAAAAATGAAGATGAACACTTTGATCTTTGATTTCTCGACTGGAAATTTGTGAATTTTTTTTCGTGACGATTGTCTTGGCGATCGTTTGAAATAATAAACCTTCTAAAAAAACGTTTTTATCTCTTTACAATTATTGCCCTGTTCATGATTTGCGCGGAATGTGAGCACTCGAGACAAATTATCACTGGCTTGCTTAGGAATTTAAGACTCGCTAAATTACTCGAAACGTCCTTGGGCCGGTTCGGTCAAAATATTTACGCAGACTCTGTATACGAAATAGATGGAATTTATTATTTTCCTTGTCCACCGGTTTGTCTGGTGTATTATTTTGTACACACACTCGTTCGCCCTCATGCCCGACGAGTACAACACACGTTCAATTATATATTTTTTCCCCGACAACTGGTTTGCTGACCACTCGGTCCGTCTGAGCCGCTCGTAAATAATAAAATAAATATAAAACGCTCTCGTCTTTCTATCTCGTTTATATTCCCTCACATGACGGAGAGTGCCTGCATAATTGTGTGCATATTGAATTAATTTTTGTGAATCTCGTGAGCGCATTTGATTCATTACGACGAAACTCGTCCTCAGCGAACTGGTTGACTTCGGAGCTCATTATTTTTTGATTGCCAGACTTTCAACTTCTATTATGCGTCCTCCGTCTGAATTATTATTATTTTTATTGTCCGATGGAGTTTGTTAGAGCCGGGCCGTTTGTCATTCGAATGACAAATAATTGGGGAGGAGTGATAAACTGACAAATCGGACGCCATTATTTGTGACGACCTCTTTCTTTTATAACTTCTGTTCCTCTCAAAAATTCGCCGGCCCATTGTTGTAATTAGGCCTCATTGTTTAACTTATTCAACGCAAAGCGACAGACGTGACAGTTGCAAATATGAATAAATTTAACATTTCATTCAATGTTGATTTGAATTTATAAAAATCGGCTTTTCCGCGATGGACTTCGTGAGTTTTTTATTGTTTAAGTAAAAACAATATGTTTCGGGACTGCAGCCATAATGCATGAGCTCTGTGAAATCATTTTTACAAGAATCAGTACAAAGTGGAAGCTTTTGAAAAATATTTGTCTTTCTAATTAACATTTTTATTGCGAAAAATTATTCAAAGCTACATTTTTACACTATTTTTAACGCGATTTGACTCTCGCATTTTTTAACATTAATTTTTTTGAACAATTTTGATCAGATTGAATATTGGAACATGTGTTTTGAGCGTACCTTTCTAACTGGTTTTTGGATTTTTTTCTCTGAATATTTTTGCCAAATTTTGAACTAAAATATTCACAAAACTCATTTAGGAAAAGCCGACTTTAAATTCTATAATCATAAATTTTCCTAAATCCTCCTAATCAAAATTAAATAAATATTTTTGTTAGGTCCACTTATATTTAAGGGCTAAACTTCAATCGCAATTTGAATCTTTATAACCTATTAACTGATTGCTTTTTTCTATAAAAAAAATTCATAATATTTCATTTAATAAAAATTTCAAGCCCATATTCATAAAGGGCGATTATCAAAAGAAAATGTAAAATATACCAAAACAAAAAATTTGTGCAGCAAGCACAATGATTTTTAGATAGAGAAAAAAATTTGTCATTTGATTCGAAATCACAGCGGCTCGGATCAATTTAACATCTCGGCCCGAAACGTTGCGACATTATTAAATACGCTTCGAGTCGTTTGGTGCACCAAATCTGAATATTGATTATAATATATAGCACTGGTGCCTGCCTCTGTAATTTGGAGAGTCCAAATCAAAGCTCGTCAGAAAATCTAAATGCACGGCCTGGCGTTTGATGCTGCTCGCATAAGAGTTATTCAAACACGGAGAGCGAGTCAGTGAAGCACCGATATATTGCGAGAGGCGCGGTGATATTGGATGGTCTCTACTTTGATTAGTATGGCTCCTGGCAAGAACAACTCAAACACCTCACCTCCAGCCACCAGCTCATCTCGGCTCAAACCAATAAATATACTCTCTGTCTGCTCAAATACAGCAAGGCCGCCGCGTGTTCCATTTCACCAAATGAAATACGTGAGATTCACAATTTCCCGAATGATGCGTTTTTCACGTTTTTTCTCTCGCTTTTTTATATTCGCAACCGCGCTGCTTATTCTGATGAAAAGTTGGAAAAGCAGCAACAGACGAGGACGTTGAAATTGGTTTCCCTTGGTGCTGCGGGACTGCAATGGCCGCGGGGAGTTGCTCTTCATTTCCAGATTACTTTCCTCAAAGCCAAGTTTTGAACAAATAAATTAGGCTTTTTTGATTTGTCAGTGTTTTACTCTTTTTAATCATATTCATTTACTGATGGAAACGTCGCACTAGTTAGAATAAATTTAATCTAATTTTTAAACTTCTTTTCCAAATGCAGAGATCAGGCATTCCAACTTTCAACACTCAAATCATTTTTCAATTTTTTTTTCTGCTGTTTTTTGTTTTCAATCTCGCAAATAATAATCTTTAAAGAAATCCTCAATGGGTTTCTTTTTTTTTAAATAATAATTATTGATTTTTCTTAATTTTGTGAGTATGTGTGTTTTTTTTCTTGTAATTTTCTGTGTTGAGTTGTGTCCAGTTTCCGTTTTAATTTTTCAGAGAAAACTTAACTTAGATTCAGAAAACTGAGCGAGGAAAACGAATTAAAATGTCCAAATTTAAATTTTAATTGGAAATTTTAATACTTTACAAATCAAATTTAAATTTCTGTTTCCAAAATAGTTAAAGTCGTTTTCCAAGCATTGGTTTTCTCGCTCAGTTTCTGAATCCACGTTAAGTTTTCTCTGAAAAATTATTAATTATAGTTTATGAACTTTTACTAAAGAACGCCAAAATTTTTCATTCATCCTTTCTATTTAATAATCATAAGAAATGAATTAAATTGTATCCCTCTTATTTGGGTCAAAGGACTTTAAAAATAGAAGATAGGAAATGAAAGGGTTACAATTAAAAGAATTGAATATAGATTTCAATTCAATGGTTGTTGGCGCTTTAATTCTGGTTAATAATTCATGGGGAAGTATAGATAATGCAGGACATTAGAGTGCTGCACGCGATCGACGCACCCTAACACTGTCGTTGAACGACAAATGACACGGTCAGTCGCGGATAATGGCCCTCGGTCGCACTGACAAGATTTTGCACTCAGACACTCGACCTCCCCGCATTGCATTTTATTTCAAATAATCTGCTCTCATCGCGGGTGCAGCCAGTCGACGAGGATAAAATAAAGACTTATTATACTGCGTGGGACCGTCGGCGCCCCGAGCATGTGCCCGAGTGCAATATTATTGGAGACAAAAGGAAGGCCACGCGCGGTTACTGCAGCCAAACACGCGAGTTTGGAATTTCAAGAATTTCTAATTAAGTGAAAATGGTCATTGCTCGTTACCTGGCAGGCACAAATGCGCTTATCTGCTCTCCGAGTATATGACGATGGCGTGACACAGAAATTATTATGTGTTTACTTTTCCAAAGGTTTTGGTGCTTGAGAATGTCGTCAACCATTATTCATTCGCCCACCGTGCATTAACTTTTAATTAACCCCTTTTTATATGCAGGGAAGTGAATTTTGAATTGCTTAATAGCATCGCTTCTTTCCTTTATGGCTTTAAAAAGTAATTATAATAATATACTTTTTATATGTTACTGAAATTGCCATTTCAACTAACTTCATTGTCCGATCATTATTAAAAAATTGAAAAATAAAAAAAAAAAGACATTTAATATGCGCCAATCTTAACATTTTTTTATTTAGATTGATATGATTTAAATGATTTGGTAAAGAGGAATGACAATTGCATACATAATAAAACATTTTCTGTATTGCTAATCTTACTATAATTAAAATAAAATTGTAATAATGAATAGATTTTATCGGTTTCAAATCCAAAAATATATGTTGTTCTTCTGCATTGAATATGTAATTAATTTGTCACATGAAACCTCAAATTTTAGAAGAAGATGAATTGTTAAAATTTTGGATATGAAAACTGATGCAAACTATTCCTTATTAAAAGTTAATTTAATGTATTAGAGATTAGAAATACAGAAAATTAATGATCTGCTGTGTGTTTATGCAAATTTTTATCTTTAATTAATAATATAAATCTTTAAACTGAATGAATTTGACTTGAATAAATCAAATATTAAGATCGGCCTATCAATTTATATGTTTTATATTTAAAACTTCAATATTGATGATTATCAAATGCAGCTGTAAAGCTTTATTGCATATTATGGAATAATACAGTATCTCCCGTGCGACCCACACATTTCTGTATTTTGTCAAATGAAATAAACAGCAGGGAAAAAAGAAATAAACATTGTATTAACAAGCAATATTTGTAATTTGCATATTCCTTTACAGTTAAGTATTGAATATTTATTTTGTAATAAGAAATTTTGCATTAGAAATTTAGAAGAGAAACTGAAATTTTCTTTTAAAAAGTGCCTGTGGGGAATTAAAGCAGAGCCACGTATTTGTGCGCTGCAAAAATACCCACTTAATTTGCAGCAAAGCGGCACATCAGGTGTCGGAGCCGAGTCCGCGAAGCGGCCGTTGGGACTTGTTCCGCGTTCTCGCCGCTCGCAAGTCGTGAAAAGTGAAAATGCATTCGTCGGCAAATTGGATCTGTTGGCATTTTCAATAAGAGCAGGGCTAAAAGAACTCTGAAGCGCAACAGCCCTGTAACGGCCGCACACACGTCGCGCCCAGGGGAAATTTTGCGCT